GGGGCGGGCCAAACCCCTCGGGTGTCAGCCGCTTGCAAAAGTGGCCGCTGGCCTCAGGACTCGACTTCTGCACCCGCCGCTGGGCCACYTGTGGAGCCGGTTAACTGTGGCCGCATGATTAGGAACCKGGCAGGTGAAGTGGCTGTTCCTAGAGCGAGCTCTAGGCCTCCCGGGGGAGCCGCTTGCCGAGYGGCTGATGGCTGGGGGACTATACCTCTGTGCCCAAGAGGCTGTCCAAGATCCACTTCTYTGGGACGAACTGTCGCTTCCAATAAACCTACCAGTTCACGGCTGCTCTCCTCTTAAGGGAATTATGCTAGAAGTTCCTCCGTAGGTAGGCTGCATCTGTTCAGGTGGGTCTTTCTTATCCCGTTAAAGTGGAGAYGTTGGAATCGCTGCTTCCTCGCCGGCCGCCATGTTGGATCCCCCACTTTTTATTCTTGAAGTAAGTTGTATACACAAAATTGACTGAAACACTGTCTCTGAATTTAAAATTATGATTTTGAACTATAGATTTATGTCCTATTTTAGCAATTATTATACTTTTGTGATTGAAAATAATAAGATATGAATTAAATATTATACATTGTGAAGGATTTTATTTTAAAATATATTCTTTAAATTTTTATTTTCCAGATTTTGGAATCTCTTTTTAAGGTATGCTAAATGTATTGAAGCTTACATACTAAAACTTAATAGAGAAATATATCTAAATGAAAAAGTTTTCTAAGTCTTGTGGAAGTTAAAGGACTTTCAAACTTGCTGCTATATTTAAAACTTTATTTTCAGTTGTATGTTGCATTGGGCCCTTTTATGAACCCTAAGAACTGATGCTTGCCAGATGAAAGTTCACATGTATATGTACATTAATTTTACTGAAGTAATTCAACTTGTCATTAATTCTTTCTTCTTTGCTCCTTTATGTTTTGCTTGTAAAGTGGTTTCAGCTACAGGTCAATCAAATGGAGGAGGCAAGTATGACATTTTTTTTTTCCTTTTTTTTTAGTTGTAGATGGACACAGTGCTTTTATTTGTTTACTTATTTTTTTAGGTGGTGCTGAGAACTAAAAACAGTGCCTCACACGTGCTAGGCAAGCACTGTACCACCAAGCCACAACCCCAGCTCCATAACATTTCTTAATTGTTAATTAAATCAATATTTTGACTCATTTGAAAAATCAATTAGAGGTATGTTTAAAGTTTGGGTCATAAAGTTATCATTTGATTTTGATATAAGAGGAATTAGTGGGTAGAAAAATATTTTTTAGTGATTTATACCCTATATTCCTGCATTTATCTACTATATTCAAAATTTGATACATTTTGTTTCCTAAAATTGAATAAGGGATATTGAACTATTTTTCTTTTCCTAATTTACAGAAAGTAGTAAAATGATAAGGTAGAATTTATCAATTTTTATTATCAATTAATTTTTTCTATCAATTTGAAAATTCTATATTTAAAAATCATGCATAATATATTCACAGACATACAATTATCTATTATTTTTCTCTTAAGTTTAATATGTTCTTTTAATGGTATTAAATAATTTAAATAATGCTAGAGTAATTTATACTTCTGATTTTCAAGTACTTTATCAATTTGAGAACTACTGGCCTCTGAGTTAAGGGCTTTTAATCTATTTTGGAAAAAACTTCATACTTACCATTAATAACAATGATTTCCAAAGTAGCTTTTAGTGGTTTATAGAATTATTTCAGTTTTACCTTTGTCATGCTTATGGTCCACTCAAATTACTTTTGAAGCCTAAGCTCTTTAAAGAGGCTGACTTATTTGGAATACAAAATTAAAGGGAAAATGAACTATAACTATTTTTTTTAGCAGAGTAGAAGACTTTCATTTTCTATACATGCTTTCTTTTAGATAGATGTGGCTGACATTGGAGAAATGTTAGAAGTTCTTTGACTATAGCGTAATGATTATTATCTTTCTAGAGAAGTAAGGTTGGGTGAAGTCAACTATTCATTTACTTGCTTGTAAAATTTCTTCTTCATAATTTAGGAACTTCAGTCTGTCTTCTGCCTTCTTATTTTTGAAACTAGAAATATTTTTTTCTGATTTATTTATAGATTTGTATTTCTTTTTTTTTGGTACTCATTCCTGTCAATGTACATGATCTATCTAAAAATCCAGTTTCTCAGTTCCTTGACTTCTGCATTTATAAAGATCAGTGTTCTTTTTTACCCTTGGACTGTATATCAAGTAACACTCTGAACTTTATCATTAATGAAATTTCGAATGCAGGTAACTTATTGTTGAACTATAGATTTCTATCTTTCTATTTACAGTTAGGCATTGCTTAATGACAAGGATATATTCTGAACAATGTGTTATCAGGAAATTGTGTCATCACAGGGTACACTTACAGAAACTAAAATAGCTATAATATCAATTCCTGTTGCCAAACAAAATATTTACATGCATACACATTTTATCTTTCTGCCTATACATAGGAATAATTTTTTCACTTTTGTTTTGGATTCCATCTCCTCTTGGCCTCTTAAGGACTTTCTCTCTCATATATTCAACTTTTCTCATTTATTTTTTGGTTTTTAAAACTGTTTATCTTTCTTATTTAATGTCACTTTCCCCTTGTAACTGGGGTTATATGTCTGTCTTTACAACCTTCTCTGTGGAACATATGTTACCTGTTCAGAGCCAGATTGTATATTAATTTACTATAACTATGTCCTTAATTCCCATATATTTTTCAAATTATTCAGACTGTCCGCGTATGGTTCCCAGTAATTTGTATGTTGTTAAACTTAATAGACATGTTTCTTTATCKCAACCATAATTAGTATTATTGATCACTTTCTCATTTTTTGAAACAATATTCTTTTGGTTTCTGTGAATTATACTGTACTGGCTATTGTTTTACCTCTTSGACTATTTCTTTTTCAGTCAACTACTTAAGCAATAAATTTTGGCATGCCTTTTTTTTTTCTCTGAACTTTCCTTAGGTAATCTCATTCAGTTTTACTTTGATGTTGGTAATTTAGAAACAACTCCAGACTTGTTTCACTTCAAATTCAGTGGATCAAAAACAAGAATTTTGTACTCATTTTCTAGTGTTTCTATCTTAGTTAATGGTAATTCATCCAGTTGAGTAAATCAGAAATGGGGTAAACATCCTTGAAACTCACTTCCTAAATATCCTAAATATTCAATCCATTCATGAGTCCTTTTGATTTTCCTTCCTAAATGTGTCTGCTTGTCTTTTTATATATTGTTTGTGCCTTAGTGCCAGTTAGCAACTGTTCAGTATTCTTGAAATTCAACGTAAGCATTCATAATCTCTAGGAGGAATCCTCACTATAAAAAGTATATTTCTGAACTGGAATTCAAAGTTTTTCAATGTTTAAATCTGTAGTTACTTCTCTTGAGTATTTTCTTAATTTTGGTGTATCAGTTAATTGTCTAAGTTACTCTCTTCTGCCTTTCAAGGATTGTTTCTTAGTTGATGGATCATGTTTAACACAAGATACCTGTCATAAGAATATACTACTGGATTAGAATTTGTATGTGAGGAAGCTAGGCTCTCTTAAGAGATTCTCATGCTTACTAAAATTTGAAAATGTTTGAATAATATTTTTACTAATAGATTTTATTGCCCATTCATGCTGATGAGGTTAATGCCTATGACTATGATGCTTTAACAGAGGTGTTAAAGCCTTCAGAGTGTATGGTGAATTGCCATTGAAATATTGAATGAGCCCTTTCAAAGTTGTCTTACTGGAACCTATACCCATAGTTATTTTTGGTGAAGTCTTATAGTTGATAATCTCACTATTTCTTACTTTAGTTCTGGGCCATCATTCCTTCTCCTAGGAATAACTTCTATTCACATTAAGTTCATACTAGGAAATGTAATGTATCAGTTATGGTTTAATCAAGAGACAAAAACCACATACTAATTTGATTAGGCAATGCTTAATATAGAGAATTGTTATAATAGAGAAAATACCTATTAAATAGGTAAAGACAATCTAAAAGAATATAGCAATAGATATAGAGAGTATCCTCAACACCCAGGATGGAAAAAGAACACTCAAGGAAGGAACAAATCTAAATACCCCAGATCCTCTTCTCCCAACTCAGGACTAAGATTCAGACCTTTTGAAGAGGGAGTAGTTGTCATCACTGAGTGGTAGAAACTTGCTTGGGTGCCATGCTGGTAGAACTTAAACTCACTTGGAAGGTACTCATGAGGGTGGTACCCTGAAAGTTACTCTGTGGTCCTAGGAAAAGACCAGGGAGATGTTGTACCTCTTGCTGGGACATTGAGCATAAGGGTTCTGCTTTGGGGAATTTTGCTAAGGAGGTCTGGGAGAAACTGCCCAAAAGAATGTGCCATGTCATGGCTCTTCTCTGGGATCTTGCCTTTACCAGTAGGGTTTTGTAAGTTTCTGACTTCTCTTCCCCAGTTCCATAGCCTTATCAATATCTCAGACTTGCAGTATACTGCTCAGCATTTCCTGTTGCTGTATTCTAATCCCATTCTAGGTAGTCATTACCATAATGAAGAACTTGTTCTAAATACTTAATGCTAGAATTTCTCTTTGTTAGTCCTTGACTTCTTCCCTGACCAATCTCCCTCCCATCATTAGAGGTATATACATGGATGGATCTCTGGTATTATCCTGTCAAAACTTCTTACTCTTCCCCACCCAGACCAATTGCTTTTATGCTTGTTTAACTCTATGTATTGCTGTTTCTTTCACTGTTAGGGTTTCAATATGAGATGTGCTTCCAAAGCTCAAATGTGAGACAATGTAAGATGTTTAAGAGGTAAATTGATTGGTTTATGAGATCTTTAACCTAATTAGTGTGTTAATCCCCTGGTAGAGATTAACTGAGTGGTAACTGAAAGCAGCTAGGGTAAGGTATTGGGGGTGTGCCTTAAGGGTATGTATCTTGTCTCTGGAGAGTGGAGTCTGTCTGTCTCCCTTTTTTTCTCTCTCTTTTTTCTGGAACTATATTCTGAGCTGCTTTCCTCTGCCATACTCTTCTACCATGTTCTGCCTCATGTTGGACCCCAAAGAATGGAGTTGGCTGTCTATGTACTAAGACCTCTGAAACCATGAGCCCCAAAATAAACTTTTCCTTTTCTAATTGTTCTTCTCAGGTCTTTTGGTCAAGCAGCAAAAAAGCATATTAAAACATTTACTGTGGCGTTTGTATGGTTTGTATGCTCCTTTTTGCTGGACTTCCTTTGAGTAGGCCTATTGCTTATAATACTAATAATGATGTGTCATCTTATTCTATAAATCTTATTGATTCTTTCTATTGCCTGTTGCTTTTTAGCTTGGTCTATTCCAAAAAACTTGAGACTCCCAAGGTGATCTAAGATTTTATTCATACAGATTGATAAATGACAGTTCCATGGACACTTATATGTGAACTTCTGGGATTTGATATACAAGTCTTTGAGAGCAAATTATTGTGTTATCACAGTAGGGATACTTTTTGAAAGAATTTAGGTGAAGCAACTATTTTAGAATTACTCTTGTAAATATTTTAAGTTGTACTTACTATTATTGTGCTTGCTTCAAATTTCTGGATATAAAAAGTGTAAACAGAAGATTTGATATCAGTTTCGGTATGTAAACATCCTTATTGGGCTCTGATTCTATTGATAGATAATTGCTCATATTTTTGTTAACTATTGTATCATCATTTGACATAATAGATGTAGATAAAATCAGATTTTATAAAGCAAACTGAAATTTCTTTGAGATGTGGGAGGAAAATGGGTATTTCTTAAATAATTTGTTTATTTTTATTATTTTAGCTAAGTAGAGGTTATAGTCTTTCAGAAGCAGATATTCTAGCACCTGAGAAAACAGTCTCTTTAAACATTTCAAAAGTAGTAATGCAAATGCAAAAGCTTGAAGAACTGAAAAATCAGCTTACACAGATGCCTAAATACTCCTTGAAAAACATGCCATGTAAACCCAAGTAAGTGAAATATAATAATTAATTGAATTAAAAGCAATAAGAGGGTGATATGATTAGCATTTGATATCAGTTTTGACATGTAAACATCCTTATTGAGAAGTGGGAGGAAAATGGGTATAATCAGTCTCATAGTATTGCTATACACACAACTTCTAAATCAAATCAGAAGGCCTACTTAGTTTTTTGTTTTTTAATTTTTTTGTTTTTTAGTTGTTGATGGACCTTTATTTTATTTACTGTTATGTGGTGCTGAGGATTGAACCCAGTGCCTCACACATGCCAGGCAAGTGCTCTACCACTGTGATGCAACCCCAGTCCCCTACTTAGTTTTTCTATTTAAAATTTTTATTAGTCTGAGTGGCAGTATATACTACAGTAGTTACTAACCACACATGGTTATTCAAATTCAAATTCAAATTTAATTTAAAAAATCATTTTTTGGTTATACTAGCCACATTTCATATGTTTATTAACCATTTATGGCTATTAGAAAGTCTATTGGTAAATGTTGGATCAGAGGAACCCACAATATTGTAGCAGCTCCAAGAGACTGAGTTAAAATAACATTTTTGCAGCAGCAGGATACGAGGTAGGAAGACTGGGAAAATTCTAATAGGCAACCCAGATATCTATCAACTAGGTAAAACCCAAAATTATCAAGTTTCTAAATTAGAAAGAGAATTAATAAAAGGAATGGACTGTGGCAGCACTGGGCACATGGTGTCTCAGTCAGAGAGGGAAGCTCCCCTCCAACAAGCCAAAAAATTCTCCAGCCCAGTTTGATAAACAGGTGCTACTGTCCCAATAAATTTGTAATCTTAGCAGAAAATAAGATCAGATAGCATGAGCTGAGGGTGTTCAGGAGAAAGTCCCAGCACTCTTTAGGGAGATAATGAAAGTGGGGAAGTGACAACTTAAAAAGATTCTTCATTTGGACTTACTGAGAAGAAACTAGAAATCCCTTCAATGCTTTCAGTACCTTTGCTTTTCCTATTTCTCTCTTTTTAAAATTCTTTATTGTCTTCTTATTGGTATACTTGCCTTTTTATGTTTTCCTCCCACATTTTTATTTGGTGCATTGTAGTTGTATGTAATGGTGGAATTTGTTGTTACATATTCATATATGCACACAATATAACAATATAATTTGGCGATATCATTCTCAAGTACTTCCTCTTCTGTCTCCCCACATCACATTTCTTGGTCAATTTCCTCTACTGCATAATTTTTCCCTTTCATTTTCATTAGTTCCAATCCACCTTTCTTTTCCTTTTACCTCTCTAGCACCCACATATAAGAGAAAATATACAATGCTTGACCTTCTGAGTTGAACTTATTTTACTTAACAATGTATATAGCTCCATCCATTTTTATGCAAATGACATAATTTTTCTATATGGCTGAATAAAATGCCATTATATGGATACACACTACATTTTCTTTATCCATTCATCTGTTGATGGATACCTTGGATGGTTTAATAGTTTGCCTATTGTGAATTGTGCTGCTATAAACATGGATATGCACTGTAGTATGATGACCTTAATTCTTTAAGATAAATAACAAGGAGTGGGGCTGGAGTTGTAGCTCAGTGGTAGAATACTTGCCTAGCATGTGTGAGACACTGGGTTCCATTCTAAGCACTACATATAAATAAATAAATAAATAAATAAATAAATAAATAAATAAATAAAAGTTTATTGACACTAAAAAAAAAAAATAAAAAAAATACCAAGGTGTAATACAGCTGGGTCATGTGATGATTCCATGCCTAATCTTTTGAGGAAACTCCATACTGATTTTTTAGTCGTTGTACTAATTCATAGTCCCACCAAGAGTGTTAAAGAACTACAGGAGGTTCCTTTACATCCTTTCTAGCATTTATTATTATTTATATTATTTTTTTCATACTTTTAATGGGTGTATTATAGTTATACATATTGGTGGGACTTTTTTCTTACATATTTATACATACACACAATAATTTGGCTACTATTACTCCCTGGCATTTTCCTACTTCYATCCTGACCTCTCATCTTTTGATCCTTTCCTCTACTGGTCTCTCTTTGATTTCTAGGAGATCAACTCCCACCTTTGTTTTTGTTTTTCCTCTCTAATTTCTGCTTATGAGAGAAAACATATGATCCTTAACCTTCTAAGTTTCACTTATTTTACTTAACATGATGGTCTCTAGTTCTGTACATTTTCCTGCAAATGATATAATTTTAATTTTATGTATGGCTGAATAAAACTCYGTTTTGAACATATACCACATTTTCTATATCTATTTATCTGTTGATGGAACCCTGGACTGGTTCCATAGTTTGGCTATTGTGAATTGAGCCGCTGTAAACATGAGTGTGTGGATGTATTACTATAGTAAGATGACATTAATTCTTCAGGATAAATACTGAGTAGTGGTGTAGCTAGGTAATATTGTGGTTTCATGCCTGCTATTTTGACGAGCCTGTATACTGATTTTCATAGCAGTTGTATCAACTTACAGTCCTACCAACAGTGTAAAAGTGTTTCCTTTTCTTCATGTCCTCTTCAGTCTTTATTATTTGTATTCTTTTGAAGGCCTTTTCTTCATATATTGAGATGATAAATGATGTTTATCCTTAATTATATTTATGTGATGAATTACATTGATATATATCAAACCATATTTGCATCTTTGGTATACATGCTTTTTGAATTYCCAAGACAAAACAGCCACTTAGGCTTTACTTTTTTCTGGATCCGTGGATGTTCAGGCCATGAGTCAGTCTGAGTACAGAAATGTGAGATTCTAACACAGATTTGGGAGAAGGTCTGGGGAGTGGGAGCCACAGCTCTGGTCTACAAGTCTGTAGAGCAGAGAAGAACAAAGGATGTTTTCATTTGAAATTAGCTGTCCAAACTCTGGGATCAGGAAAGTAGCTGAAAGAATGTAAAATTGGATTGGATCAGGGCTGAGTGGGAGTCCTTGTCACACTTACACTCCCACCCTTGTCATAATAACAAAGTTAGTTTGAGGCTGTAATCTCCTCTGAAACAGACAGTGTTATTTCAATAGATGCTGCCAAGTAAAGAGGAGGTGTAGCTCAGAATACATATCACCCTAACAAGATTAGACAGACAAACAAACAATGTGATATTTGTGTCACACAAACTTCCTCATGGTTGGGAGATTCTGAAATTGAAATCTCAGAAGGAAATGTCTCTATTCTAAAAAACTCAGCAAGAAGAACACTGAATCTCTTTATTACTATTGTTGCATTAACTGCTCAATGTAAACTGATTTCTAGTAACTTTCACATATTATTTTTCCCCCAGTGTGCAAATTTTATATACTATGTCAATTTGGTCCTCTTTTATACTTCTTTTCTTCTGTCTCATCTCCATTCTCAATCCCTTTCCATTTTTTCCTCTCATTTTATTTTGTCTCCTTTCCTTTCCATGTCCCTTTTATTTCTTGTGTTTTTCTTTTTTCCCTATTCTCTTTTTAAAAATATTTCTTATACTAGTTCAATTTACTGTACTATCATTAATGCTTAATCTTTATAGTCTATTCTACTTATTTTTCATCCACTTTTCTCTTTGGTTAATAGAGCTGCAGAGATCAATTAGTAATAACTTTTATACCCTATGTTGATATGGTTTACTCTTAAATTACCTCTATTACTGAGGATTACTCTTCCTTTTAAAGTCGTACTAGAGATTGAATTTAACACTTTTATTTTGCTGATCATATATGTTGAAGCTATGTTATACCCACAGCCCAGGGATTATTATAAATAGATAACTACCCACTAAGGGACCTCCCACATAAAAAAGAGGAATGTATATCAACAGATGTACTAATAAAGGAGGACCTTAGAACCTATAAGGAAACAGTAAGTAGAATACCTCCAAAAGTCAGTAAGCTCCTAGTAATTGAATCCACAGACACTGAAGTGGTAAAATTCCAAAGAATTTTTAAAAGTTGATTGTTAAAATGATTAATGAAATTAAAAGAAGATCTAAGGAATGAATTAAGGGAGAAAAATACCAAATGTGAAAGAGCATTTCAGTAGAGAGACTCTAAAAAGAAGTGGAGTAAAAATCTTAAAATTGAAAGACTCAATAAAAAGTTTAGTTGAGAGTCTCACAAATGTATTAGAACAAGTAGAACACAGATCCTGAGAACTTTGACAAGGAAGCTCACCTAAAATATTTAAAAGGTATTAAAGAAAAAAACCTATGATCTGAATTTATAAGAACTATGGGATAATTTAGAAAATAAACTTAAAAATCACAAGCATTGTGGAAGGAATAGGAATACAGGAATAGGCTAATTGCATTGATAATGTTACAGTGAAATATTAGCAGAAAAATTTCCAAACCTAGGGAATGAAAGGGACATCAATATACAGGATGAATTCAGAACATCAAATATACAACATCAAAAAGAGCCTCTCTATAACACATTATGATTAAAATGCCAAATATTATAGAATAAAGACAGAATTTGAAAATCCTCAAAAAATGTCAGGACACATTTAAAGGTGAACCAATCAAGCCAACCTATGATTTTTCAAGAGAAATCCTAAGATTCACGAGGGTTTAGAACAATATATTTCAAAACTTGAAAGAACATAACTGCCAGCCTAGTTTGTTCTATCCAGCAAAGCTATCCTTAGAATCAAAGAATAAAAACCTTCCAAGAGGAATTTATGACTACCAAGCCATAATTGCAGAAGTTCCTAAAAGAAATCTTACAAACAGAAGGCGGAAAAGATAAAAATGGCCAAGAGAACATAGGAAAGAATTTTTTTTCATTAAAAGAGTAGATAAGCAAATGAGAATTAGTATTGAAACAAAATGAGAAGTAAATCAAATTCAAATATATCTATAAGAACATTGAATGTATATAGCCTGAACTTTCCAATTAAAAGACTAGCAAATTGGATTAAAAACCATGACCCAACCATTTGTAGTCTGAAGAGACACAACTCTTGGTCAAAGATATCAATGAC